TCCATCACCATTCACTACTCGACGCCAGCGCTCAGGCAGCTTGTCGATTCCATCCTTCCAGAACGACGGAGGCTGGGACTTGAAGAAGTCGTCGAGCGCCTTTCTGACCTGATCCTTTGTTTCGAACTTTTTTCCGTCCAGAGAGCGCTGCAGGTGGCTGAACAGCCAGTAGTCAGAAGCGGGTCAGGCTGTACGGGAAGAGGTGAGTCGACCATAGCCATCCTCTTCTCCAGCTCGGCCTGGGTCGCCTTTGCAGTGTGAGGTCGGGCGTTGTCATGGTGGAAGTAGATTTCCGCATTCCTTCCACGAGTACGGTCGACGTGATCTTATAGTTCCGTAGGCTGGGTCAGATATGTGAAGCGTCAATTGTCCTGTGCTATCTCCAAGCAGCTTCCCAGTATGGAAGTCGGCCTTTGGGGTGGCTTCTGGCTGTTCTCCTTTGTCGACCCACTGCCGCTTCCTCACAGGGTTATCGTAGAGGACCCACTTCTCATCTCCAGTGATCATCGAGTTGAGAAAGTGAAGCCTCTTTTGGAAAGTGAGAGATGCAGTGTGGTCACCCTCAAGAGGTCATAAGCGGACAGTTCATGTGGGACCCTCGACAAGCTTTGCTACTTCGAGCTTTTCTAGTCCGTGCACCGTCGGAAATGATCATAAAGCTACGCCGTCGCCAAGTTTCTCTGGTGTGGGTACCGGGTCCTCTCCACGCGTGGAACGTAGTGCTTACCAATTCAACCATCGGCCGACCGACCTCGGAGAATCTTAAGAGATAAAGTCTGCCTTGTCGCCTTGAATTTGCTGGCGAACCGATTCTTTGCATGTGATAGTGATGACGTCGCTCATATGTATCCACCAGCTTGGTATGGGCTTCCTTTGCATTCCAGCCGAAATCGTGGAGCAAAACCAAACAGTGGCGCAGGTACGTTTTGTCACAGTGCAAATTGTGCGACATTGTGTACTGCAAATGCAAGCTCGGTGAGTGATAGCTAGTGTAATGAAAGAGTATAATGTACACGTCACGCACACGTGATGATGTAATACCAACATCCATGCGAACGAAATAGAGGGATAAACAGTGTAGTACAGAATTATGCAACAACCTAATAGTTGTCAAAGCCAACAAAGTAGGAAAATCTCTGCTAGCTCCTTCGTGCCGTCGCAAAAAGGATCTCAAGTTCTACATCCTGGATATTCATTGGTTCGTATGATAGATTGATAAGTCCTGTTTGAATGCTGTTGAGATTTTTCTTATTCTTACTCAATATTGACTCGATTAGTCTCCTTTTTTTTTATTATGAATTAATTATTTTCGGCGAGAAATAGAGAATTGGATCAGTGTTTTCAGGTTTCTAATCACGCAAATGCACATTCATCCGTTGTGTGGCCGAATATGTTGTGCCGTATGACAGATGAAAGTTCAGGTTGGATTCATTAATTGATTTGGATTTCCGGTATTTTATTATCAAGATATGTACTTCGTGAATGGAAACTAGTTGGTACTGATCAATGCATAGTCGAAAGACTATTTGAAGGGACTTCTCCTTGCTAGTCAATACAACGCAAGTCTGTACAATCGACAAGTATAAGGGATGTGCGAGGAGGTATATTGATTTGACGCGTCCGTCTGCATGGACCGAACCCATACCGAACGATATTTTGGGCTACGACGATATTTCACAATGTCGCAGGTGAGAGCTGTCAATCCTCCGATTGAATTCGAGACCTCAGCGGAAGTACGTCATCCAGTTGGTCGTGTCACTCCCATGGCATCCCTACACTGTCCTCTCTAGACTCGGCCATGAGGAAGATAGAGCAATTGCTTAAACGTTAATGGAGCTTAACGGCCGCTGTAGAGACCGTAGCTAGCCCATGCTCGCCATACCCGCTAGACGGGGAGGGCGTGACCGCTTACATCATTTGAGCGCGGCTGTGGCTGCGCTTTTCGTGGGATATTACCGTTTCGGAACAATTATAATCATATCTTTGTCCAAAACAAAGTACTAGGACAGTTGTCCGGGATGGAAATATCCCGCGTGAAACGCATCCAAGATCCTCCCTGTCGCTGGATATGGAGTGTTTATAGTATGCTAGTATGCTTGATCCTTTCCCCCCCTAATCTTTTTTTTGCAGTAAAAATCCTTATCCATGTGTAACGACGTCGTATCCAGGAACGGTGGACCAATACGATCTGCCCGCGGTATACCGTTCAACACAGGTATGTTGGGATCATTTATTGGGTAGAACCAACAGCAGTTATGTCTGATGTCAGGATTTTCTTGAGCGAAGTTCAGTGAAATGGTTTCCCATTTGGCGCAAATCTGAGCTCCAGCTAACTTCACGCAAGAGCTTTATTTCATAAACTCCTTCCCTGTGTCCCTATTTCATCAACACCTAACCATTGAAGAATCCCGGGGTCGGAATATCAGTGGTTCGTCTGAGGTTGGGACAACGAACCATTTTGTTTTGTAAAAAAAATGGGTACCCGGCAAGAGAATCGTAACTCGCCGCACCAGTGGGCGCCGCGTGCGACGTTGCACCTGCTCTGATTGGACATGCGATCTCTGTAAAGAACAAGGACATGGTAGACACTTATTATGTCTATTTTTACATTGTCTATTCTCGACCAATACCACCTAAAATCGTCGTCATTAGCAGGCGCGACGTCGCACGCGACGCCCACTGGCGCGGCGAATTACGATTCTCTTGCCACATACCTTTTCATATATTTTTCCTTCTACTTTTCTATTAAGGTAGCCTCTGGGCTTTGCGGAACCCATGATGCCCCCTACTAACAAGTAATGGGTTTACCGACCTTGTGCAGGCACAGTGGGTAATTTACCTCCGATTTGGGTATAATTTGAAGACTGAGTAAGCTACAGTCTTGTTCGCTGCGGATGCTGGGGCATTCCAAGGACCTTGGGTTCGGTGCGGGTTTTCCCCACCAATTGTGGAGGTTTGTTTCACAACTGGTGGAGAACAGGCTAGCGTGGCACCACCACCCTCTTCGCCCTCTCTTTCCACCTGGGACGCCACAGCGTCCGCTGCGAACAAGATTGTATTGAATCAGGTGCATTTTGTGAAGCGTGAAAAGGGATTTCGCCGAACTTCGCTCAGGAGATGGCCCAAACCTAGCTAATCATTTGACCGAGGAGTAGCTTTTATCTGTTATCAGGACTTCGTTGCTCGACTGGTGTTAGAATACAGTACAACACTTGTCACGGAGGTACTGGTAACAAAAGATCCTACTCTGTACGAACTGCTCAGTTATATCGGCTATAACTTGGCTACATGGTTCGCCATCGGTCATATTATCTGGTGAGTTTTCTCGTTATCTCTTTTGTAGCAACCTTCAACAATTCTTAGGTGTTGTCTTGAAGAATGGGCGGAGCTCACGGGAACAGGTGGAGCTCCCCACTTGGCACATTCCATTCGTCTCATTTGATTCATTCACTTAATGATTCTTTTACA